TTTATTAAAGAATATTTTTCAAGGGCCAACTGAGGCGTGGATTTATTAAAGAATATTTTTCAAGGGCCAACTGAGGCGTGGATTTATTAAAGAATATTTTTCAAGGGCCAACTGAGGCGTGGATTTATTAAAGAATATTTTTCAAGGGCCAACTGAGGCGTGGATTTATTAAAGAATATTTTTCAAGGGCCAACTGAGGCGTGGATTTATTAAAGAATATTTTTCAAGGGCCAACTGAGGCGTGGATTTATTAAAGAATATTTTTCAAGGGCCAACTGAGGCGTGGATTTATTAAAGAATATTTTTCAAGGGCCAACTGAGGCGTGGATTTATTAAAGAATATTTTTCAAGGGCCAACTGAGGCGTGGATTTATTAAAGAATATTTTTCAAGGGCCAACTGAGGCGTGGATTTATTAAAGAATATTTTTCAAGGGCCAACTGAGGCGTGGATTTATTAAAGAATATTTTTCAAGGGCCAACTGAGGCGTGGATTTATTAAAGAATATTTTTCAAGGGCCAACTGAGGCGTGGATTTATTAAAGAATATTTTTCAAGGGCCAACTGAGGCGTGGATTTATTAAAGAATATTTTTCAAGGGCCAACTGAGGCGTGGATTTATTAAAGAATATTTTTCAAGGGCCAACTGAGGCGTGGATTTATTAAAGAATATTTTTCAAGGGCCAACTGAGGCGTGGATTTATTAAAGAATATTTTTCAAGGGCCAACTGAGGCGTGGATTTATTAAAGAATTTTTTTCAAGGGCCAACTGAGGCGTGGATTTATTAAAGAATATTTTTCAAGGGCCAACTGAGGCGTGGATTTATTAAAGAATATTTTTCAAGGGCCAACTGAGGCGTGGATTTATTAAAGAATATTTTTCAAGGGCCAACTGAGGCGTGGATTTATTAAAGAATATTTTTCAAGGGCCAACTGAGGCGTGGATTTATTAAAGAATATTTTTCAAGGGCCAACTGAGGCGTGGATTTATTAAAGAATATTTTTCAAGGGCCAACTGAGGCGTGGATTTATTAAAGAATATTTTTCAAGGGCCAACTGAGGCGTGGATTTATTAAAGAATATTTTTCAAGGGCCAACTGAGGCGTGGATTTATTAAAGAATATTTTTCAAGGGCCAACTGAGGCGTGGATTTATTAAAGAATATTTTTCAAGGGCCAACTGAGGCGTGGATTTATTAAAGAATATTTTTCAAGGGCCAACTGAGGCGTGGATTTATTAAAGAATATTTTTCAAGGGCCAACTGAGGCGTGGATTTATTAAAGAATATTTTTCAAGGGCCAACTGAGGCGTGGATTTAAAGAATATTTTTCAAGGGCCAACTGAGGCGTGGATTTATTAAAGAATATTTTTCAAGGGCCAACTGAGGCGTGGATTTATTAAAGAATATTTTTCAAGGGCCAACTGAGGCGTGGATTTATTAAAGAATATTTTTCAAGGGCCAACTGAGGCGTGGATTTATTAAAGAATATTTTTCAAGGGCCAACTGAGGCGTGGATTTATTAAAGAATATTTTTCAAGGGCCAACTGAGGCGTGGATTTATTAAAGAATATTTTTCAAGGGCCAACTGAGGCGTGGATTTATTAAAGAATATTTTTCAAGGGCCAACTGAGGCGTGGATTTATTAAAGAATATTTTTCAAGGGCCAACTGAGGCGTGGATTTATTAAAGAATATTTTTCAAGGGCCAACTGAGGCGTGGATTTATTAAAGAATATTTTTCAAGGGCCAACTGAGGCGTGGATTTATTAAAGAATATTTTTCAAGGGCCAACTGAGGCGTGGATTTATTAAATAATATTTTTCAAGGGCCAACTGAGGCGTGGATTTATTAAAGAATATTTTTCAATGGCCAACTGAGGCGTGGATTTATTAAAGAATATTTTTCAAGGGCCAACTGAGGCGTGGATTTATGAAAGAATATTATTAAAGAATATTTTTCAAGGGCCAACTGAGGCGTGATTTATTAAAGAATATATTTTCAGGGCCAACTGTCGCGTGGATTTTTTAAAGAATATTTTTCAAGGGCCAACTGAGGCGTGGATTTATTAAAGAATATTTTTCAAGGCCAACTGAGGCGTGGATTTTTACTTTTTTACTGGGCTTTTTACGAAAAGGCGTGTGTTTTTCAAAAAAATTATGGCCAAAATAAGGCGTGGATTTTCAAAAAAATGTATGGCCAAAATGAGGCGCGTAAACCAGTAAGGAAAGTAGTAAAGGGCCAACTGAGGCCGATTTATATGATATTTTTCACCACTTTGGGTATATTCAACAGATGAATCATAGGGCCAACTGAGGCGTGGATTTTGAAAGTCCATTAATATGAAAATGGATCCATAAACATGTCATTCTGCAACCTACACTAAATTTTGCATTTGGCCAGATATAGGGTTGATTCTGGTGAAGGGTATATTAACCGGCCCAACTTTAGGGTCTTTGGTGCGCCTTTTACTTAAAATCTGCAGAAACTACAGTTCATTGCCAAATTTCGTACAAATCGAAAGATATATAGGGTATTTGGTGCACCATTTACATTAAATCGAACGAAAATATATATGGGCGCCATATGTAAATCTGGACCGATTTTCAGGAAACATAACACACATCATTCTAGACGTAATTCATTACGCTGTGCCAAATTTCATGCAAATCGAAAGATATATGGGGACTTTGGTACACCATTTTCAGTAAATCGGACGAAAATATGTATGGGAGCTATATCTAAATCTGGACCGATTTTCAGGAAACTTAACACACATCTTTCTAGACCTAATTCAGTACGCAGTGCCAAATTTCGTGCAGATCGAAATATATATAGGGACTTTGGTACACCATTTACATTAAATCGGACGAAAATATATATGGGAGCTATATCTAAATATGGACCGATTTTCACGAAACTTAACACACATCATTCTGTCCCTAATTCAGTACTCTGTGCCAAATTTCCTGCAAATCTAAAGATATATAGGGACTTTGGTGCATTATTTACCTTAAATCGGACGAAACTATATATGGGAGCTATATCTAAATCTGAACCGATTTTCTCGAAAATTTGCACACATTATTCTGGAATTAATTCAATACCTAATGCCAAATTTCGTGCACATCTAAAGATATATAGGGACTTTGGTGCCCCATTTACCTTAAATCGGACGAAAATATATATGGGAGCTATATCTAAATCTGAACCGATTTTTCCCAATTTCTATGGGGTTCGTCCTTGGGCCAAATAAGTGAGCTGTGCCAAATTCCATCCAAATCCAAATAAATGCGACCTGTACTTTGTTTACAATTTAACATGGACAGACAGACGGATAGACGGACGCATGGACATGCATAAATCGACTTAAAAAGTGATTCTATGCATATTCTCAAAAGGAACCATGTGGTTATCTCGTTTCCTTTTGCCTGTTACAAATATATGCACAAAGACATAATTCCCTGTACCACAGTGTGGTGAAGGGTACGCAAATATGGCCGAAATGAGTCCTGGATTTTAAAAAAAAGTCGGCCAAAATGAAGCGTGAATTGTTTTTAATTATTTTTTGTGTCCAAAATGAGGTGTAAATTTTTTGTAGAATATTTATTTAATGCTTATACGAACAGAGGATTTTTAAAAGGGGATTTTTTAAATAATATGTTTTCAATGCCTATACGAAGAGAGGATTTTTTTTAAAGAATATGTTTTCATGGCCTATACGAAGAGAGGGGTTTTAAGGAATATGTTTTCAAATCCTATACGAAGAGAGAATTTGTTAAAAAATATGTTTTCAAGGCCAATAAAAGGCGAGGATTTATTTAAAAGGCGTATGCGAAGCGTCGATTTATTATATTATTTCCATAGCAAATATGAGTGCAGGATTAAAAATAGTATTTCATGTTTTATTTGAAATCAAGGACTATATGGGTCCTGGATTTATATTTGTACAAGGTGTTTATATTTGTACAAGGTGTAACGAGACTAGAATTTTAAATGAAAATTGTTCTTGAATTCTTAAATATATTTTTTTAACCCTATATTAAGAGTGCATTTTCTAAAAACGTTTTTCACATATGAACCTATTCACATTTACAACAGTGTATGACAGAATTCTCAAACTTGTTTTTGCTCTTATGGAATATATATGTATAAATGTTGTCACTTGATAACATTATAATATTTTTTAATACAAACAAATATGTGATTTTTTTATTCTCTCCCTTCCTTCTTTCCCCTTTCTAAGCTTAGACATTTCACTTTGCACACACACAAAAAAGAATATGAACTAGGGTAACAATTTTCTTTTTTTTCAAAGGTTTAACGCTCAAATCACACACATACGAACACAAGCACTCTCCCCACTACTACTTCAATCACAACAAGCATTGAATATGTGTCAATTGAATGAAAATATGTTGCCACTTTCCTCTATGTCCTTTCACACTCCCCTACTACTAGAAAATTTGAACAAAGTGATTCTTATCAATGCTTGGCTTAAACTTAAGAAGTGAGATGCAGAAGGGGAAGAAACAAAAAAGTTGGAGAACAAAAACTGTTTGGAACTGAATGTTAGAAAATCTCCCCCTGTGTTTTTGCTGAAGGTTTTATTTCATATCATGAATGGGGCAATATCAACAAGAACAGAAGCAGTAGCAGCAATGGCAGAAAACATATTGTCACAGCAAACAATATGCCTTTCAATGTTTTAGAAACTTTAAGCCAAGATACTACTACTGAAAAAAAGGAGTGAAATTCCATAAAGGACCAGAAAAAAACTCCCAAAATATTTTCTAGGAAAAATAACGAAAGTATTTTAACCATTTGAAGAAACACACACACACACACTGAAAATTGTGTGTGCGTGTGTGTGTGTGTTAAAAAGGCTTTTTGTAGAGAAAGTTAGCTTGTTTGCTTTTTGTTGTCACAACCATCATCACCAACACCCATGTTCTTTTAGCTTCTAATATCGCCAGTCATTCCACACACACACACGAACACGCACTTCGCACATGCTGGTTAAAACATATTCATTTGTATGTATTATGAGTACAAAATAGTACACTTTGTTTGAATTGATACTTACATAAATGACATAATCCTTGGGATTGTGAGCATTCGTACCGCACACATACAGCCTGTTGCCTTGCATTTTTTGTATAACACGAATGTGATTTTTGCAATCGAACACCTATAAAGAAATGTGAGAAGGAAAAAAAAGAAAGTGAAAATTGGTATTCATTAATATGCGTGTTGAGTAGTGATATTAAATAAAAGTTAAGTATTTACGTTTCTATATAACATTAGTAATTTAAAGAAGGTATTGTTAAGTGGATTTGGTTAGTATTCAAGAAAGTTAAAAATAAAATGAGTCAGCAAATGGAACACATATATGATAACGTATAATTTAAAATGTGTTAATTGTACATGGAAACGTTGATTTCATAAATGTTGGATTTTAATTATTAATAATTATTCTAGAATAAAACATAGTATATTATAATTTCAGAAAATAAACACCTCAAACAAGGCATCAGCAAAATCCATCTAAAAATCACGCTATATTTATGTGGAAGACATTTTAAAGGTCCTGTTTGTAATAATAGATATCCAAGGATAAATATGTATACATTAAATAATAGGAAATCTATTGATGTTAAGGTTTTGCAGATGAACCGTCAAAATTAGTAGAGAAGAAAACGTGTAGTTGTGCCTTTAAAATAATAATATTATTTACCCTTTTGCAGAAAACTTTTAGAATTTATACCCTTCACCACACTGTGATACAGTGTATTAGGGGAGACTGGGGCACCTTCGGCACCTTTTGTTTAGAGCTCTATATCTCAGTACTTATTCATCATATATAAAAACTAAATGTGTGATCATAGTCCTCTGACACTTAATTATAAAAACTAGTACCACAAGGATATAAAAATTAGTATTAGTTAAACATTTTTACAGTTTTGTAAAAAAGTCAAATTCGCCGAATGTGACCCAACCCGGGGTAGCTTCGGCATTTGATGGGGAACATTCGGCACCATAGTCATGGCCTGGTAATTATCATCGCTATCAGTCTGCTTGAAATTCAGATCCTCCAAAGACTCTATTTGGTTTTAATACGCGACACAATGTTTATACCCTTCACCACACTGTGGTACAGGGTATTATGTCTTTGTGCATATGTTTGTAACAGGCAAAAGGAAACGAGATAGACACATGGTTCCTTTTGAGAATATGCATAGAATCACTTTCTAAGCCGATTTATGAATGTTCGTCCGTCTGTAGATGTTAAATTGTACACAAAGTACAGGTTGCATTTATGATCCGATTTGGATGAAATTTGGCACAAGTCACTTATTTGGCCCAAGGACGAACCCTATTGAAATTTTAAAAAATCGGTTCAGATTTAGATATAGCTCCCATATATATTTTCGTCCGATTTAGGGAAAATGGGGCACCAAAGTCCCTCTATATCTCTCAAATGGCACGAAATTTGGCACAGAGCACTGAATTAGGTCCAGAATGATTTGTGCCAAGTTTCGAAAAAATCGGTTTATATTTAGATATAGCTTCCATATATAGTTTCGTCCGATTTGAGGTAAATGGTGCACCAAGGTCTCTACATATCATTCGATTTACATGAAATTTGGCACAGAGTACTGAATTAGGTGCAGAATGATGTGCGCCAAGTTTCGAGAAAATCGGTTGAGATTTAGATATTGCTCCCATATGTAGTTTCGTCCGATTTATGGTAAATGGTGCACCAAAGTCCTTATATATCATTCGATTTGCACGAAACTTGGCATAGAGTACTGGATTAGGTCCAGAATACTGTGTGCTAAGTTTCGCGAAAATCGGTCCAGATTTAGATATAGCTCCCATATATATTTTCGTCCGATTTAAGGTAAATCGGTCTCCAAAGTCCCTATATATCTTTCGATTTGCACGAAGGTTGCCATAGGGTACTGAATTAGGTCAAGAATGACGTGTTAAAATCGGTTCAGATTTAGATATAGCTCCAATATATATTTTCGTCCGATTTAATGTAAATTGTGCACTAAAACCCCAAAGTTTGCCCGACTGCACACAATTTTGTACAAAGTGCTGAAGTTACTATAACCTTTTGTGTGTCAAGTTTTCTTGAAATTCGTTCAGATTTACTTATAGCCTCTATATATACTTTCGTCCAATTTTAAGTAAATGGTGTACTAAAGACCCATAGCTAGGCCGATTGGCAAAACGTACTGAAATTAATATAAATTAATATCGGCCAAGTAAGGATTGATGTTAGTCGGTTTACTTTTATATAAAGATCGCATTTTTAAGTTCGTTCAATTTCATGTCAATGTTCCTTCAAAAAGACGACATCTGTAAAGATACATATGTAGAATATCCCCAAAGTGGTGAAGGGTATCATATAGTCGGCCCAGTCTGACTTTACTACTTTCCTTACTGGTTGAATTTTAGGACTATGTTTTCTAGAAATAGGTTTTTTCTATCGCATTTTCGTCAATAGAAGCACGTTAAGTCTTATATATGTAATTTCGAACCATATTAAAGGATTAATTTTTAATGACAAACTCAAAAACATTTTAAGGAAATAGTATTGCACAATCTGTATATGGCCGAATGTCCCCCACTTTAAAATGCCGAATCTACTCCGAATGTACTTTTATAGTTTTTTTTTTTCATTTTTTTCTATCAGTCTTGTAAAAACATTATATTTTTAGATATTTCTATAATAATACACATCGTAATTAACCACTTTTTAATAATATTGTCTTAAAATTTAAAAGGTTTTAAACACGAAATTCTTACGAAGTGGAATGGAAATAATACAAAAACATCTGTAAAAATTTTAAAACACGGGCATTTAAATAAGTTTATTAGCTAGAAATTTCAAACTATGTGACAGTTATTTATTTCGATATTCGATGCCTTTGAATTAAATATAGTAATGTACAATGAGAGTTTCATATCGAAAATGCGATTACCGAAGGTGCCCCGATGCCGAAAGTGTCCCAGTCTCCCCTATGTCTTTGTGCATACGATTGCATCATGCAAAAGGAAACAAGATATACCAATGGGTAAATTTGAGAATATGCACAGATTAACTTTTTGAGACGATCAATCCAAAAAGTTTGTAACGCCGCGAAATATTGATTTTAGGCCCACCTTTTATTATATCGATCGTCATATCTCGTCTAGATGAGTCGATCTAGACATGTGTGTCCGACAATCTGTCCATTATAAGTTGCAAACACGATACAGCCCACAGTTATGTGACGAAATTTTGAATATTGTACGGGTTCTGACCAAAAAAGACCACTATTATTTTTTTGGTAATGATCGGTTAAATTTAGGGGATGAAATGGAAACAGAAAACAATAAAGTTTATTTTTCTCGGTTTTTTTTTATACTACGAATGGAATCTGGCCAAAGAATAAGCATGTGCGAAAAAAGAGAAATATGTTATTCTATGGCGTATATATTTATACCTGAAGGGCATAGACCCGAGGTGTTGACCTTAAAATTTATGACAATTATATTGGCGTATAAATTACGCGCTGATAGCTAAGGAATTTTTATAAAGATTCCGGTGATAGTCAAGGTCGACGCTTATAAATGTTGTTAATGATCAAATGATATTTAGGGGATAAAATGGACCGAAGACTTTTTTGTCTGGTCTTCAAGTTGCTCTAGGCGCCACAATTATAATCCGAACATTACAAATATTCCATGGGGAAGGGAATCTGGCCAACTAACTAAAATGACTGTTTTGATAAGTATCGAAGACCTTTCTATTAAAATTAAAAAAATTGAATTTTATGGAGTAAATTTTCACAAAATTCGGAAAATATGCCAGGATAAGAAATAGGAGCTATTGATGTGTCAATAGTTCACCCTAGTCACAATCTTAGACCGACTAAGACAAAACTTGGCACTGCGTGCTGACTTATGTACAGATTGACGTACGCGAATTTCTTTAATTTCGATTTAGATATAGCTTATGCATATATTTATACCCTCTGCCTAATGGCTAACTAGGGTAAATATACTTTATACGGCAAAAATGCGCCTCATCGAAATATTGGTTTTAGACCGTTTCAGAAAATTTGGAACCGATTTACAAATGTTCGTCCATCTGTTTGTCTGGCCGGCTGGTAAGCACGATAACTCTCGAAGTGAGTCACCGATTTCATCCAAACTTTGCACATCGTAATATTTCTTCCAAAATTAGTTCAAGTTCTAAGATGGGGAATATCGGTGCTCTCCTTCTAGTACCTCCCCCACAAAATGGTCAAAATTAAGCTAATATATACTTTTATAATAGCATGTGAACGGAATATTCGATTTTAAACAACCTTTGTACAAGCTATTATCTTTTCCAAGCCTAAATCAAGTTCAAAAATGGGACCCATTATTTCACTCTTTCTGGTATTTCCCCACAAATCCAATAATATGTGAAAGGAATGTCCGATTTGAACCAAATCATGAACAAGTCCGATGGTGGAACCTGTCGGCCATCTCAAATCATTATCATTGAAGACATTTTGCAATGCAAGACAAATATGATAATCGCTTGGTGCCAAGTCCGGATTGTATAGCGGATGCATTAAAATCTCATCTCCAGTCACCATCCGTTTAAGAAATGGGTCTATCTCATTCCGTTTGGTCAAGGCTTCCCAGATCGAAATTCTATCCATCCTATTTTTTTATGTTAATTGGTGTGGCAACCAAACCTCGAGGTTCTTGCATATGCAATTTTACTTGAAATCGAACCAGATTTACATAAGTTCGTTCTATTTCATACAAAAACATTAAAATAGTTTCATATGTCGATTCTCGTATAGGTCGCATATTAAATTTTGTTCTGATTTCAAGCCAGCGGCCTTCCAAAGATGATACGTTTATTCTATCAACAGGTACATTTTCGACCAAAATTATTAGAGAAGGACGAATGTAACGAGCATCTTTTGTATATACTCAACTTGTTGAAGGGTATCATATTGTCGGCTTTGTTCGACATTTGAGGTTTTCTTACTGGTTTTATATGTCATCATGTAATTTTACCGATATAAGTTTTTGTCAGCATTGACACAAGTTCCTTTAGTTATATTTTGATTTCGCTTCGATATACAATTGGAAAATTACATTGTATTCCTATAGTGGAATTAACAAACATTTAAC